CAAGGACGAGGGCAAGAGGAGCAAGCAGCACCTCTACTGCCCCACCTGCAAGGTGACGGTCAACTCGCTGTCGCAGCTGGAGGCTCACAACACCGGTAAGGGCGGCGCGCGGCGCCACGGGGGCTCTGCAGGGCGGCAGCTCCCGCCAGGAGCGCCGGGAAGGCGGGATGCGCCTGCGCTCCCCGAGCCTTCTTCTAGGAGTGTTTTGGGGGTGCTTAACCAAGCGCTGCGAGGCTGCTTCACCGTGCAATGGGGTTCGCTGTGAGCCGAACGCGCTGGGGCCCCCGCGGGCGGGACGGTCCCTCCAGGGCTGCGGCGCTTTGCGCTGCCCTCCTGCCACGCTAAAAGCCCCCACTGCTCCCCCCAGGTTAAGGGCCCCCCCAATCCAGGCGGGTCAGCGCCCTGTCCCCCTGCCCAAGCCCCCGGCCGCAGCAGGGCCACGCGCGGGGTCGGCCGGGGACGCGGCCACCAGCGCATCCCGGGCTTTTGTCAGCTCCGCTTACGGAGCCGGGAGCTGATCCGGGCGAACGAGAACAAGCAAGCGGAGCACGGGGAGCTCGGCGGCCTCGCTGCCCGCCCGCCTGCGCGGCCCCGCGGGAAATAGCAGCGGTTGGCAGGGCTTTGGTGACCCCAGGTGCGCGGGCTCCGCGGCCCCGCGAGCTATTCCTGGCGCCGCCGCCGGCGCCGCGGCGACCTTGGCATAGCGGGGCTGCTGCAGCGCCGCGGGCAGCGCGTGCCGCGCGCTGCAGCCTGCGCTCGTGCCCGGGCACGAGGCGAGCGGCACCGGCGCCCACTTAAAATAGCAGCTTCTCCCAAGGGCTGCGCGGGGCGGGAGGCACCGGGGGTGGCTCCGTGTCAGGAGCCCTGAGAGGTGACGGCTCTGCCCCGGGCTGCGCGGTGGCGGCGACGCCGGTGCCCTGGGCTGCCCTTGTGTGGTGCCAGCGGCGCCTTCTGTGTCGGGACTGGCGTGCGCGGCAATCGGGCTTGGGCAGGGCTTTGGGGCTGCATGAGGATTTGGGGGTTGCATTTGGGGTTGTATGAGGATTTAGGGGTTGCAGGAGCATTTGGGGGTTGTATTTGGGGTTGTATGAGGATTTGGGGGTTGTATTTGGGGTGGTATGAGGATTTGGGGGTTGCACAAGGATTTGGGGGATGCATTTGGGGTTGCACAAGGATTTTGAGGTTGCACAAGGATTTGGGAGTTGCATTTGGGGTTGCACAGCATTTGGGGGTTGTATTTGGGGTTGTATGAAGATTTTGGGGTTGCATGAGCATTTGGGGATTTTATTTGTGGTTGTATCAGGATTTGGGGGTTGCATGAGGATTTGGGGTTGCATTTAGGTTTGCACAGGGATTTGGGGGTTGCACGAGGATTTGGGGCTGGCACGAGGCCGGGTGCAAAGAGCGAGTGCCCACCAGGCAGCCCTGCAGAGAAGGGGGCGGCGGGTGAGGAGCCGGGAGCTGCTTCCCAGCCCCACTGGGGTCCCGCTGGGGTCCCGGGGCGGCCCCGCTGGCGCCTGGGGGGCACCGCCAGCCCCGCTGCCCTCTGCCCGCAGGCGCCAAGCACAAGTCCATGCTGGAGGGCCACAGCGCGCAGCTGCGGCGCGGCCGGGGGCGGCTGCTGGCGCGCGCCGGCCACAAGGCCAAGCGCATCGGCAACAAGGGCAGCATCAACATCCAGAACAAGGCGTTTCACTGCCAGGTCTGCGAGATCTACGTCAACTCGGAGACGCAGCTGAAGCAGGTGACGGGAGCGCCGGGTTGGGGGTCCCCTCCCCTTTGAGTCCCTAGGGGTTTGCGGGGTCGGGGTCCCTGCGTGCAGAGGGGTGTGCCCGGGGCTGCGCTCGCTCTGTGCGGGAATTCAGGGGCTGCACAGTGATGCCCACGGGCTCCGCGGCCAGCGAACCCCCCCGGGAAAAGCGGCGGAGCTTGGGGGTGCCCTTGTGCAGCGGGTTGGGGAGTGCAACGGAGTCCCAATGACACCGGGGCCACAGTGACACCGGGAATGCAGTGAAATTGGGAATGTGGTGACGCCGGGGACACAGTGATGCTGGGGCCGTGGTGACACCGGGAACGTGGTGATGCCGGGGCCACGGTGATGCCGGGAATGCGGTGACACTGGCTGTGGTGGTGCCGGGGCCGCGGTGATGCCAAGGCCACGGTGACACCGGTGACACCAGCCGCTCTCCCGTGCAGCACATGAGCAGCCGGAGGCACAAAGACCGGCTGGCCGGGAAGCCGCCCAAGCCCAAGTACAGCCCCTACAACAAGCTGCAGAAGAACGCGGCGCTCGCGGTGAGTGCCGGCAGCCGGCGGTGCTGCCGCCCACGCGCGGGGTGCAGGATGCGGGATGGGGGATGTGGGATGCAGGATATGGAATGGGGGATGCAGGATGGGGGATTGGGGATGTGGGATGCAGGATATGGAATGGGGGATGCAGGATGGGGGATTGGGGAATGTGGGAGGCAGGATGGGGGATGAAGGATATATGGGATACCAGATTCTGGATGGGCGATGCGGGATGCAGGATGCCTGAGGTGGGATGCAGGATGCGGGATGCAGGATGCCTGAGGCTGGCTGCAGGATGTGGGATGTGGGATGCGGGATGCAGGTGCAGGATGCAGGTGCAGGATGCAAGATGCGGGATGCAGGATGTGGGATGCAGGATGCCTGAGGTGGGATGCGGGATGTGGGATGCGGGATGCAGGTGCAGAATGCAAGATGCGGGATGCAGGATGCAGGTGCAGAATGCAAGATGCAGGATGCAGGTGCAGAATGCAAGATGTGGGATGCAGGATGCAGGTGCAGAATGCAAGATGCAGAATGTAGGATGTGGGATGCAGGAGGTGGGATGCAGGATGCAGCCTGCAGGCCGGGCGCCGCTCACGCTGCCGCTTCCCTCCCGCCGCAGTCCAAGCTGGCCCTGCAGAAGCAGCTCAGCAAGACGCTGGCCGGGCGCTTCCTGCCGAGCCCGCTGGCGGCGGCGGCCGTGTGCGCGGTGCCGG